CTATTGGGCATCGAGGTGTATTGGGCACCTTGGACGTTTGACCTCGTCCGAAGAGCGTATGATCCGATGAACCGGATACCGGCCCCTAATGGATTGCGGACTCTGAGTGCCGTCCTGTTGTCTTGCAGGCCAGGCTTTCTAGTCAAAGGCTTCGATTGAGGACCCCGAGGTTATCCCCCTTATTCGACCAGGGCAACCGGGAAGTAACATGCCCACACAACTTATGAAACACAAATTATGCATTTCCGAACTTTTAGCTCTAACTATGCGCTCTTTGACCGAGGTGTTGGCGGAAGGCTCCATAGATTTCCAGGTTACCACACCAACAGATAATACTCTTTCCCTTCCTCAATTATTGAACTTTCCTATTCTCGGTTTACCGCCCATTATTTCGAGTCTCCAACAGTGTGTTGCTCAAGACCACGGCAGAAATCATAGTCTTGTTCCCACGCGAAAGAAACAAGCTTCCGAACAGGCTATTCCGAAAAAAATAATCGCGCCCCGGTCGCAGATGAAGTTAGGGACTTTCAACGTTCGAGCACTTATGCAAGTTGGGGCTCAGGCAACACTCGCTCGCACACTGGAAACGCTTTCCATGGACGTTTGCTGCCTTACTGAGACACGGCTACAGGATTCGAGCACCGTACTGCTACTCGCTTCACCGTCTCCGGATTCTGTAAGCTCGTTCACCCTCCGCCTCTCCGGAGATCCGATGGCAGAGGCCGCTGTTCAGGCCGGCGTGGGGATAGCAGTAAGTGCATGTGCAGAAGCAGTTTTACTCGACTGGATTCCAATCAATAGTCGACTTTGCGTCATCCGTCTAAAGGGATCGGTGAATGCATCTCGTAATGGGACAAGAAAGCTCTGCCTGTTCGTCTTCCTGGCTTATGCGCCGACGGACTGCAGTCCCGACACAAAAAAGATGAGTTCTACCATCAGCTCACCAACCTCCTCCACAGTAGACGACACACTGACATCGTGATACTAGCCGGCGACTTGAACGCACAAGTAGGTAGGTTAGACGCTGACGAAACCTCACTTGGTGGCCAACATAGTCCCGGTGTTCGGAGAAGTGACAACGGCGACCGTCTTCTGCAAATATGCGCTGAACATGGTCTCTTCCTTTCGAGCACAAATTTTCACCGACCATGGCACCAACGTGCTCCGTGGCGACCTCCATCGTCTGATCCGCTCTGGACTCAAATAGACCATATTGCCATCAGCCATCGATGGAGAAATTGCATAACGGACTGCATATCCATCTGGAGCACATATCACAGCTCTGATCATGCACTCGTGTGCGCGAAATTCTCTCTGCGCTTTGGCGGAAAACAGCAACGTCACTCGAGAAGACTCGATTTGATGAAACTGACCAACCCAAACGTAGTTACCGCCTACCAAAACACGTTAGCTGCTGATCTAGATAGTCTGTCATTCTCGAACGTAGACAACCAATGGACCCGCATCCGTAACGCCATGCATAAGTCCGCCACCACAGCATGTGGCTTCACCAAACGCACCGTCAATCACTGGGTTTCGGCACGTTCTCTCCAACTCCTCGACACTCGTCGAAGCATCCCTCCAGGCAATGAATACAACACAGTTCGCAGGACTCTCAGTGCTGAACTGAAAGAGGATCGAGAGACCTGGTGGGCACAACACGCTTCCGAGATGGAACTAGCCTCTGCTTCCGGGAATGCTCACAAACTTTTTCGACCAATCCGAGCCACCGGTAACAGAAAATCATGCGTCAGTGAAACCATATGCGAAACTAATGGTGAATGTATCCACAACCTACAACGTCGGTTTGGGCGCTGGGCGGAGCACTTTCATCAACAATTCAGTTGGCCATCGACATCATCTCCATCTCCCGATGTCTGTAGTGCTCCATGGTCTGTGGACATTTCATCACCAACCGAAGAAGAAGTCTCCCGAAAGATCAGACTTCTGAAACGCCACAAATCGCCCGGTCCAGATGAACTCCCTCCGGCCCTCTTCAAAGACGGTGGTGCAAGCTTTGTTCGCGAACTAACTTTCTTATTCCAAACCATCTGGAATACTGAATTGACTACGTGTCAAATATATATATATAGAGAGAGAGTGCTCTAACGATAGAACTGTCGCCGTAGTCAGCTCTTAGTTTTTTTTCTGTGGCCTTGACAAGCACCCTCGCTTGAAGCGCCCCGCAAGAGAGTCTTTGTAAAGGTTGTGGTGGAAAGAGTCACTTCCAAAGAGCTTGCCTCTCAAAAGGCCAACAAAGTCACGCTAAATCTGCTGCTTGCCTATCCATATCAGCAATTATCGCAGCTAACTCTCCTGCGTGCCTCTCAGAATCTGTCATGGATCTCGAGGTCAATGGAGTCCGTTGTCGTGCTCTGATTGACACCGGGAGCTTGGTAAGCTGTTTTCGAGGGCTTGATATTCACCAGTAAGTGGAAGATACTCCATCCAGAGAACCCATCGCAATGGACTCTAGTTTCCTATCAAGCAGTACAAGGAGGTACTGCTTAATCTTCATCAACTTCTGTCTCCCAATCTGTTCCCCCAGGACTGAAACTGTGGAACACTTCCTATCTGCATTCTTCCAAGCGCTTATAATCATACTTTTCAAAAGCATGATAAATAAATTAGTTTTCATTGGCCAATACGAACACACCTGCACTACGATGCGCACAGTCACAGTCAATCCTTTAGACCAGTCTTTTTCAACCCATCAAGTATAGCCCACAGTGTACGCCGGTTTTCAGGGAGATATTGTCTATATACGTTGCTATGGCTTGCTTCACCGTAGTTTTTAATACACCTGTGCTCCTTTCCCCAGCCTCCAAAAGCCTCAGTATGGTCGGGGTGGGTGTCTAGGGTTGCGGCTGGACACCCTGCCTTGCACCTCACGAAATGCTCCCACACGACCAAGTGTCTCAAATAGCTTCCGCTGAGGAAACCCTACTCACTGCCTACCCGTGGCGGAGATGTTTTTCCCACCAAAGTGAGAGGACGAAAAGCCGAAATCTGGGGCTATAACCAGATCAGTGAACCACTGGCAGTTCACCTAGGGGAGATGGCTAAAAACCCTGATTCCAAACCAAACAAGAAGAGGCACATGAACCATCCACACCTTTCTGGTCGTGACAGTGGTCACCGGTTCTATTGGGCATCGAGGTGTATTGGGCACCTTGGACGTTTGACCTCGTCCGAAGAGCGTATGATCCGATGAACTAGACACCGGCTCCCAATGGATTGCGGTCTTCACACCGCCCCGCTGCCTTGCCTGTTGGGCTTTGGCTAGGCGAAGGCTCCGGTTGTGGATTCCTCAAGAAAATTCACCTGCCTTGGTCTGGGCAACCTGGCAGTACTCAGCCCACAAGCCAATCATGGAACATTTTCTTTTTTATAAAGATTATTGTACCATGATTTGTTTGGCACACAGTCTGTCCTCAGACAAGTGTGAAATATATTTACATACATATATATTTATATCCTTCCCCCAGCATAGTGGCTACTCGATTAGTTAAATCCATAGATTTGTGTAACTCCTTATCGCTTATCACACTGGAATGTTTATAAAGCTTTGGCTGTTACCAGTTGTCCGGGGTTTGTTTGAAGGTAAACCGCTCAAAGAGTCGCTGTGGCGGTGTGCTCAATCCGCTGTCTATCCAACGACTACTGATTGTTTACAGATTCTTAGGATTTGGATTCTGTAGTTTTGACGAAGCTGGAGGTTGTAATGCAAGTGATGCCAAGCGCCTGATGCAACAGGGATTTTTTGAGCTGGCGAGTTTACTATTCATTCCTGGTGAATAAATTATTGAACATGTCGCATCATACAAAAAAGCTGAGTAAAACTGCGGAGTTCATGAGCTAGGCGATATTCATCAACAATGAGGACAATAAACTGCAATGAAAAGACAACTTCAATGAATAGATTGATGCGATGCATACGGGTGATCCGTAACCGTTAACTGCTGACGATAATCGATGTATTCTCTCGTTCTCCGTTTGCATTCGCATTCTTTTTTATCTCACACAAATCTGATTGCAGACTGAGTGCCAAACAAGTCACAGTACATTAATTTTTATGATGAGGAAAAAGTTCTATGATTTGCTCGCGGGCGCAAAACTGCTGGTTTCCCCGGGCCATAGCAAGTGAATTTTCTTGGGGAATTTACAACCGCAAACTGACCAAAGTCTGACCAGTAAGAAGTCGAGGCAGTATATGAAAGCCGTGATCCGTTGGGGATTGATGTTCAAATTATTGGATTTATAGGGGTCAAACCTCAAAGGTGTTCAATACGCCCTGACGCCCAACTGAGCCAGTGACCACTGACAAACGGTAGTGTGTGCTTGTGGTTCGTAAGCAAAATCTCGTTTGGTTTGGAATCACAGCTTTTAGCCAGCTCCCCTAGGTGAACTGCCAATCATTCACAGACCCGAAAGTTGGTTTTTCATCCTCAGCTTCGTGGGAAAATACCTCAGCTTTGGTAAGGCGATAAATAGGAATTCCTCAGCAGAGGCTATCCGAGACGTTTGGTCGTATCGGTTTTGTTTCCAACTATTACCGCCATTAACCTTGTACTTTCGTGTACCGCCTTTTGATTAAAGTCGCATGATTGCCCATTCGGCTATAAGAGCAAGAAGGTTAGTTGTCGATGTTCAACCACCGCTACCTGCGCCGCATTGTACGAGTGTGATGAGGCGACCGGACGAGTAATGAGGTTAGGCGGAGTTTAAGACAACCATCATTGTCCCCTAGAATAAGAGGTCGATATCCGTAGACTACGTTGGTAGGAGCATGTGTTACGCATATCACTAAATAGATTGCCACGGCACTGGTTGTTTCCTGAGGCAGGTGATAAACGAAAAGGGAAAGGATGGTCAAATCAAGATATGGTATGCGAGTACAAGAACCCTGACCAGAAGACTGCTCACATTGATAAGGACAGGTTTCCTGGTTACGGAGCTCGGGAGCAGCTTAACCGATGGTTGTGCACGCCGAGTGCTATAGTTGAGAGCCGTGAGCGGTGGCGCTCATGCACCTGCCCAATGTCTTTGCTTAGTTTTCATGAATGCTCTACCTCTACCTTTAGCATTCTAATTTTTCCTCTAACCCTTCAACCAAATCGGTAGCCAACCTAAATCACCGCACGAAAGTGGATGTTTAAGGATTGTAAAAACAGGAACTCATGGTTTCTCTGAGCAAAATGCGACGATCACCCAGGTGGCCTAACAGGTAGAATAGTTTTTTGATATTTCTAGGGGCTGCGACTGCATTCCTTTGACTTTTCTTATTAGACAATATGATGAACAGCAACAGGGATACAATGACAGTTGCGAAAATCTACTGTCCACTCATGATAACGGACAATCTAAGCCCCGGGACAGCAATGAATTACATAAGGCCCTCGAGACATGGAGGTGGTACAGAACAAGACTAATCATTTTAGTCCTTTAGTTTTCACGACCATTGTGTGCTTCTGAAATAACATTACAGAAACCACCGGTACCTGTTTTACTGCTGGCAGATTATCATGTCACCTTTTTGTATTACAGACACTGATTCTCGAGAGATCCGATGACTTTAGTGAATTTAAGGATGAGATCCACAATTAAAATCCACAGTAGGNTTCAGTCGTATAACGCCGCGGGCACTAACAGCTGGATTACACATGATAGGCAACCGAAGTTTACGGCTTTTGTTGAGGAGTCGTGGATTGAAACGTAAAGAGCACCAACAGTACTGTGCAGTTAAATCCAATGCAGGTAGTTCAATAAGACCTCAAATATCGTCCCGCACCGTGCAAACAGCAGTTTCAGTTCAGTTTCAGTTTGTACAACCATTAACCATCCATTTTCGTGCGCCGGTTTTGGTTGCTGTCTTTTGGCGGCCCATTAGGAGAAAGACAGCAAAGTTTGAAAGTAGGATCAAAGAAAAAATTCAGAATTTCAGTGGACTAATGTTGCAGAGAAATTGACAAGATGCACGAACGCCACTGTTTGCGACACCCAGCCATATCACTGAGTGTCTCTAACCATCGGTGACCATCATCTCTACGTCCCCAGCCAAGGAGCCTAACGGAACATGTGACCCAGACTCCTGGTTAGGGTTTTCATACCCTCATGCTAGGTCTTAGCTTGACCACTCTTGGCTTTATTCCACCCACTACCTGACTCGGCGAACATCGCTCTCCGTGGTAACCTATCCGGTGACATGCGTAACGCATGCCCCAACCAGCGTTATCTATGGAGGTCGACCATTTGCTCCAGTGGGCGACCGCGCTTACCTAAGACTCTGCGCCTAACCTCAGCATTGCTCGTTCGGCTGTCCCACCAGATTTTTGCAACGCCGTGTAGACAGCGGTGTTTAAACACCGACGGTCTATCTTTATCCAGTTCTCTTAATGATCAAGTTTCTGTGCTGTATAGCAGAACTGGCCGAACTGTCGCAGCATACACTCGACCCTTAACAGAAAGCCGGATGTCCCGACGGCCTTAAGTTGGTCTTAAGTTGGCAAATGCTGACCGAGCCTTTTGTATGCGGACTGACACTTCTTCCGTGATGCATCCACCGGGTGAGATGTAACTGCTCAAACACCGAAACCTATCCACCTGCTCTGACCAACAGAGAAAAGAATTTATGGATAAACCCAGGAGGGAGAGAGACTTGTTGGAATGAAGGAGCAGGAAGCTAATAATCAGTTGATGAGAATAAAGTTCATGTTTAGGATAGACGATGAGAATCTTTTGAAGTATTAAAACAAAGTTGATCCAACCCCATGCTCCGTTGGTGCAAGATCGTAGGTAAGGGGAACACAAATGACATGCGATCGCAAGTGGGGAACGGCAGCATTCATAGGGAATGACCGAGATAGAAGCTTATCGACCCGGACAGCAATGGTTCGCTTGCTGAGAAAACATTGGGGCCACGATACGAGAGGCGATTGGAATGCGAAAGTGCATAACTCCGACAGTAGACATTCATACCAAACATGATCGGAGGCTATTCGAATATCGAACGAGGTCGTGTGTTTTATCGTGTTTATGGTGTGAGTAAGTCAGTAAGTCACCCGTTGATCGACCAGGACGAAATCCATATTGGTCATTAAACAAACCGCATTCGAGAAACGTAAGCAGTTGTTCAAAGATGATGTGTTTAAACACTTTCGAAATTACCGATGTGAGAGTAGAGGGATGATAGTTGTTGCGGTCAGAGGGGTCACCACGCTTTGGGATAGGAAAAATAATAGCATTTATCCATGGAGTAGGGAAAGATGTAAGATCGAATGAAGAATAGAAAAGGTGGCATAGAACAGGGTTTAACTCACGGACAGATTTTTAGGACGATAGATGGAATACCGTCTAAACCGGGTGGCTTGCAAACATCCAAACCACGAAGAGTTTGGTGGACCTTTGTGGTTTTTACGATAGGTAAGAAAAAGTTGTTGGGTGTATGTTAAGAGAGAAGACCGGCAACCCAACATTGGTAAACCACATAAGGCCTAAATAGGCTCATCGTGGTGGTAAGTCGAGGGATAGCAGGGTTACCTACCACCTGTGTGCCTCCTATTTACTGTTGGTCTCGATATAGGCATGCAGTTGTGTACTCAACCCCCGAGTGGTCATGTCGTTCCACGTGGTCCTTGCTGTTCGATAAAATTGATCGTATCGTTGTAGGTTTGTTTACAATAACTCTCATAAGGCGAGGGATGCAATCGGCGTAATCTGATACCCCACGTATATGTGGTTGTATGGGCTTCGGTTTGTGTTCATCCTTTCGTTTTCTCTTTCCCCTAAGGCATGACTTGACGAAACCTTTGGGGTATCCGTTTGTATGATACAACTGAAGTAAGTGGGTTTGTTCTTAATGCTAGTTCTTTGGTGCTGCGGTGTCGAAATGGCGAACTGAAGCGCTCACTCAGCTTCTCCGGTGACATGAGATGATTGTTACCGTAGTTTACCACCTAATCGGTCGTTGTCGGTTCCCGGTACACAGTGATTTCCGTTTCTGTCTGACTTTCGTATTCTGATAACACCCAAGGTAGAAAGTCTCGTATTGTTTTACTCGTGATGAATTTCATCCCTGGCGTAACTTCATCTAGATAGTTTCGAAGCTGTTCAGTCAGCATTATATATACATGTTGTATTAACAAATCTAGCGAGTTTATATGTATTCCTCTTCAGCTAATTTTCATTTCTGAACCAGAGCTGTCAATTTGGTACCCGGAGATCCCCACGCACAATGAACCACAGCAGTTCTTCGTTCACTTACATAGCGGTGCCCGACGGTTGCGACGACGTTTCTGCTTGTTTGGATGTTAATCTACCTCACTTTTCCCGCCTTTTAAAGAAGATAATGCGCAAGATCGGTAAAGGTGCATCTGAGGTCTGTCGACCACTCAAACAACTGGACGAAGATGGCAATCTGGTGTTGTCTGATTATGAAATTGTTGGATCACTGGAGAATGAATCGCGTGACTTGCTGTTAGCGTTTCTTCCATCTGCTAACGAAACTACTGAACTCTATCGCTTTCCGTTCGTTCGGCTTACCGTGCGAAAAGTAACCGATGTGTAAGTTTGGTAGTGAGTTATGCCTTCGATTTTATTTGGATCAGGGTAATCCTGTTGCTATGAGAAGTATATTTCAGTGCGCCGCTTTGATATTTTGAGAATGTAAGGAAAACGCTAACGGCTTCAATTATTTATGTTGCCCGCCTCACGCGATGGAGAACGAT